TTTTATTACAATACGAGCATTTTCTTTTGCGAAAAGATAATGTTATTGATATAAAAATCATAAAAATGACTTTTGATGGGAAAATGGCACATGTTTCCAAAAATTTATCATCTAAAACACTCTTTAGCTATTCCTATTGTTCCGGAAACTTTGTTCAACCTCAATATTCCAGAGCAAAATATTCGATAATCCTCTCGTAAAATCGCACAACAGAATCATAAACTCGAACAACTCGACATCGCACAACAAATCTCTCAAGATTTGAAATGTTTCTGCTTATCGACGGGAACAAAGTATATTAAAGTACATATTTTGATGCAGTATGATTATCGCGTCGCATATACAAACATCATAAGTGGAATTTTGATTGTGCACGTGCGCAGCTGAGATTACCTTTCCTAAAAGCTTTCATTTATAAACGTTTCTTATAATTGCACCATCTTTGTGATATATACTTTTATTAAAAGATATTTGCGTATGTAATTTTTTCTTAATATAGCGTTTTTTTACACCAACTGAAAAAGTCAATATTGATATATTATTCACTTTCGATATAACGCGGACGCACTCCATCTCCTCTATGAATATAAAATGACGAGTTTCCATGCGTTGACGGATTATGGATGGTTTTAAACGCGTCGTTGCATAACTCTGTATGCGAAATCGTAAATTTTGGAAAAAGAGCAAAATATTTTTTGTCAAGATTAGAGCAAATTATTTTCTATTTCATTGAAAAAAAAGAAAACTATGTAAAGAACATATTAAGTGAAATTTTTGTAATAAATATTTTCAATGTAATTTACGCGTTTGAAAAATATACAGTAGAGTAATAATTAATTCCAACACACAAAGTAAATTTTCTCATTAACTTAATGGATGATTGTTATCGCAGCGTTCTACAAATCATGCAATTTATTATGAAAATGAAATATACATGTATGTATAGGATGAAAACGATCTACCGAAATACTGCTCGATAGTATTATTTAATAATACGTGATAAGCGTAATCTAATAATTATTTGTGGCACAAATACAGCACATATATGCATAATAAAAGAGACGACTCAATGAACGCGTCAATTATGCGATAAATTGTACACAACTATTTGACACACATTGTAAGCTATTCTAATTGTTTTTGTTTTTTTCGAAATAAATTGTGTTAAACCTGAATATGATTGAAGATATAAATTTTTATCTTTAGCGATATCAGATCGCTGATAATATAATTGCATAGATAAGGATAAAGATAAAGCATATCAAAGTCAAGCACTCTTGTTCCTAGAAAGCTACTGTAAAAGATGGAATATGTGGGATGGCGTCAAAGATCGAAGACGTAAAGTTCACTGGGAGCTTATTGCGTTCTGACATAACTTTCTTGCGTGACACAAAAGATGAGAAAAGTCTTTTTTACCATTCGATTTTCATAGGTTGAAGAGAACATATAAGAAATGCCAGCTATTTATTATCATCTTTCTTTTAAATAATCTTTGGAATATGTTTCAAATCTATAGATTCTTCTTGTTAAGGATATTTAATATAAAATCAACTATACAGATAAGAGATATTTTGATATTATCAAACTGTGAATAGATAACTAACGCATAGAGAACTATGCGCTTAATCCCATTGAAAAATTGATCATAATGGATACGATAACGCGCTTTTATCAATCGCAAGATGTAGCAGCTTAATTCAATTGATAAGAAGAAAAAGATAAGGTAGGAATTTTCTCTATTATGTGTTTTGTCCACAAAAGATATTTAAAGTTAGATTTTCATTAAGAAATGTGTCCTATATCGATCGCTATTGATAAGCTAAAACTCTTTGTATACCGATAAGACATTTAAAGCATGTTAGCATATCCGGAATGTCGAACTGTGTTTTAAAATGTCACGTCTAACATAAGAAATAAGTAGAATAAATGCGAGCTTTCAACAATTTTAAATTCAATGTGTATAAATTTGAATTATCAAGAATATTACAAAAGATATAAAGATATTATTTACGGCGACTTTTTAATAACATAAAAAATCTATTAGCCTTTATCAATCTAATGACTAATGATTTTCTTTTTGATTGCGGAATCGAGTCGAGCTGTACAAAAATACAAAACTTGAAAACTCTGACACTTGTTCAACGGACAAAAAGAAAACGAGTAAAATAAAATCAGCAGCTGCAATTTTGGAAAACGTCGATAGCGTTCGGTAGTGTGTACACGCATTCGAGTACGTAACCCGAAGATACGCACACCTGGATTATTGATTACCGCGCCGTAGAGAGCCTCCTGACGGAATAGACCCTGTGCCTGGACAAAGACCTTAACTCGAATGCAGTTTGTTCGCTCGATTCTGCCAGTGTTTCATTGTCTCGTTTCTTTTTCCTTTCATCGCATCGCCCGCTGCACGAGATTTGAACAAAGCAAAACGCTCTCTCGTGCGAAATTATACCCGCGCATTAAATTTAGCGATCTTCACGGAAAATCTGATTACTAATCGCGGCCGCGCTGGAGGCAAATCAAATGTACGATTATGTACCTTGCGCGCTTGTATGCAATATATGGGATGGTAGCTACGATCACATAGATGAAATGATTCAGTCTTGTCTCCGAGAATACACAAGCTACGCTCGACACGCGTATTCGGATTTCTGAATAATGCAGACACTTAATTAACGTCGCTTTCTGACAGACTGCCAAAATGAATATCGTTGAGCCAAACCGTTAATCGCGAATCGTGCGCAATCTCTCTCCGCGATTAAATTTGCTTTCGATTAAATACTTTGTTATGTGTATTCGGAATCTTATATAGTACGAATACATCCTCCTTTCTTTTTATGTAAATTCAGATGCGATTTAATTTTGTTTTATCTTTTAAAAATTATCAAAAAATATACAAAATAGCTTTTAAATGCGTCAATTTATTTTGCTGAATTTTGTTAAAAACTTTAAACTTCGTTCCTCAAAATGCGTCAAATCTTCTTGTCTTATCGAGAACAGAAATTGATTAAAGTTATATTACTCTTGAATCAATTTATTTCCCCTTTTTACGCAGTAAGTCTATAATTTTATCGCTCATACATTATCCGATTAATGTACATTATAATACGTACGACACAAGAATAGCACATTTTTAATCTATTTATTAATATTTAACGAAGTGAGAGCTATGGGAGCATGTTCCGGGGTCTATATAAAACATTGTGCAATCCCACTAATGTTTTTAGGTCACGAGATTAAATTTCTGTTTAAAACTCTACTACCGCGTTCGTAGTAGCAACGACAAAGAGAAAAATTTCTCTATTTTCTTTCTCCCAATTTTTCGCACAAAAACGTTCGTTGCGTTTTCATTCGACAAATAAAATTTATTTTAGTAAAAGTAACCGATTTTTTGGAAGTAAAAATTGTAACGAAATATCACAATTATTACAGTCACGAAATAAATAGCAATTTTTTATTTCTCCGACGCAAGATAAATATTTCTATGCACAATACACGAAACTTGTAAATCTATAAGCGTTTGAAAAACTATGTACGTACATATGACGATTTATAAACAATTTTAAAATTTTACGTTTCAAATAAATATTTCAAAAAAATATTTCGTATAAATATCTCAAAAAGAAAGTATGAACATATCGATTTCAATCTTATTTGCATCAACTTTACGCGTGACGTAATTTTGTCAATAATTGCTTATGTAACGCATTATCTTTTCTCGAATATTTAATCACTGATTAAATTTTTGTGGAACAGAGAATTGACATTGCTACACTTTTCTGCCAGAGATTTTTTTTTACATGTTTTTACATGTTATATGTCAATCATGTGTGTCGATATCGACGCAGATCGCTGTTTTCATTTAAAAAGTAGATAAAAAAGAGATTGTTTTCAAACTCGTAATAGCAAAACTAGTAGAAAACTATCAATTTTTATCGTAAAACTTAAAGTGTGTGATGTCGGATGTGACCGCACCAATTTTAATGTCATTTCCTACCACATTTCGAGCTATTATTTTAGTAAATGAACAGACTCGTTAATCGCGCATAGAATTGTAGAGCTTATGACATCAAAAACAAGTTCATTCATCAAGACAAGGTATCTAGCTACATTAATCTTATTTCGATAGACACCGCGCGATTAACCTTATACAAGATAATTAATATAGAAAATTTTCCACCTATACACACTTGCATTAAATAGCCAAATAGCTCCAATCTAAAAAATAAAATATATTTACTTTATTTCATTGATACAATATCAAATAATATGATATTAGTATCATTATTTGTAGATATCAAATTGATATTAATACGAGATATCATCGCCAACGCGTTAAAGTTAAGTTTAATTTCACCGGAAATATACATAAGAACGTATCTCCACACCAATATTTTTCGAGCAGTGTTTCTCAAGCAATTTTTTGCACAAAATTTCTCCCATAATAATATTTCTATAAATAATAATTAAATAATACCATTCTTTTTATCAGCATATTGTAAAAAGTATAGAGACGAAAAAATCAAAGTAATATTTTTATTGTGCAAAAAGATGCAAATATTGCGATGATTAAATTTACATAAACGCGTACATTCTCCAATCGTATTAAACTTTAATAATGGATCTTCTGACGTATTTGGAAAAATCGATTTCAATCAATAAAATTAATCCCAAAAATCAATGTGAGGAATCTCATAAAAAGTTGATACATTTAAGCGGAAAATCCTGTATATGTATTTGCAAATGTTTCATCTATTTTTCATCACTCGTTCTGCCATTTTTGAAAGACACTGATGTTCTAGATTTTGTAGTATTGATGTGTGACTCTACATTGAAAAAGATAAATAATATAAAAATTCTGACAAAGATACGATTAGATGATCTTGCGATACATCTCACGATTAGACGAAATGAATACACCGGCTATACGCATATAGCAATCTTACTCGCTCGGAATTACATAATGCGGCTATAAAAGAGGAAAGATTGGTTTACTCTACAACAGTAGATCTTACAGCAGGGGTCCGAGCAGTATCTATTGATACTGGAATAAGCACTAACATTGACAAATTATTGGTAAGTGTGCAAATTTATAATAGAAACAGGTGTTCTTAATTGCCGACAACCATATCGTTTTGCAAAATTTTGTAATATAATGTGGTAACAAACACTCAGTGTGTTTCTGCTGTTTTAAATATTCTTAAAATTTTATTCATTATGATATCCATTTTTAAATATTTGAGTGTTTCAATTTAAATGAATCACTTTGTATATATATTATTACACATTTAAGTCAGCGCATAAGTAATTTGTTATTATTTATTTTCAAGATCCAGCTATAATGAAAAAAGTAATAACGCTTTGTACAATATTACTATTATCCAGTCTTGGATATAGCAAACCTAATGCGAAATGGTGGCAATCAATGTCACTTTATCAAATTTATCCCAAAAGCTTCAAAGACAGCGACGGGGATGGTACAGGAGATCTTAAGGGTATGTTATTATATTATTATTATTATTATATATAATTATATAACCACATATACCTAATATGCACAAGTTTTCAACTCTAAATTTAATAATCGATTCTTGTGTTGTTGAGACAATATAAAATTAATTTTAAAAATATATTTTTATAAATATAAAATTTCAAATTTTTGTAGAATATTTTTTTTTGAAACAAACCAATTATTTGTTGGCAGTCTTTTATATTTGATATTACAAAATTATCTTGATAACTGAAATTTGATTTAAAGATCTGAAAAAGTAAAACCTATTTAAAATTAAGCATGTAATAGTTGATTTATTTAATTGCAATCTAAAATATTAATTCACATTAAAATATTTCACGAATACGATCTAAAAATGTTTCGACTTTTCGCATGCAGGTATCAGGAGCAAGCTAGACCATCTCATCAGGTCGAATGTTAATGCTTTTTGGTTATCTCCGATTTATCCCAGCCCGATGGTCGACTCCGGATATGACATTTCCGATTTTGTCAGCATCGACGAAACTTTCGGCACTATGGAGGATTTTGAGGCGCTCACGAAGGCTGCTCATGACGCGTCTTTAAAAATTATTCTGGACTTTGTTCCTAATCATTCCTCGGATCAGCACGAATGGTTCCAAAAGAGTTTAAAAAGTATCGAACCCTACACCGACTATTACGTATGGCATAAAGGCAAGGTGTTACCCAACGGAACGGTTACGAAGCCGAATAATTGGGTAAATATATTTGATAATTCAAAGAGACGTCCGTGTCGTGCGAAAATTTATGATGACAGGAAAATCGGCTTTTCGCGCCTTTAATAATGATGTAAATAACCTATATTGTTAAAGTCAATCTCGAAATGATCCGAGCTCGAATACGCGAGATTATCTTAATGTTCGTATTTCAATTATTTTCTTCAACTAATTTTAAACGAGATTAATTTAGCTCTTATTATTAATTTTCTATTTCGCAGTACGATATATAAACAGTGATAAACATTAAAAGTAATTACTTAAGTTAAGCTCACAACAATCGCATCGCGCAAGATATGCCTACTAAATAATTCGCATTATCTCTGAGACGCATAAGTGATTTTATTGTATAGCGATTCGGATTCCGCATTCAAAAGTTAACACATTCGAATCTTATAATTTAAAGTACTCTCGAAATGTAATTACGTAAAAGTTAAAATGCTCTGTATTAACAAAAATATTTATCGTGCTATAGAGTGATATGGTTGATCGCATAAAGATATCTTTTATCAAGTATCGTGGCAACAACGATTTGAAAAAAAAAAAAAAGAAAGAGAAAGAAAAACTAAATGTCTAAGTTGCAACTTCAGTGAGAATTAAATTCTAGTTCAACTTTGACGATCAATCAGGCGAAAATCCTCCAAAAAAGTTCCATTAAGACGATCGATTCTTTTTATCCATCACGAGCCGATTAGCCTTTAATATCTGAAAAATGTTCTGTTCGCGTTTCTCGACACCAAAGTTAACCGACGATTCATCATTGCGATTACCTACAAGTCTCGTCGATTTTGAAATATGTATATAGGCGTCGGTAACGCGAAACAATATATTCCGGTCAGCACAACGCGAATCTGCAATATATATATATATATATATATATATTGTTCGAAATGTTCTAGCACGACATATTCGATTCTCGTCTGTTCTATATCTGTCGTTAAAGCTTTCAAGGCATAATCAGTTAATCGGGATGATTGAATGATTATTGACACATATAGATGAGCGTGTTCGGCAAATCAGCATGGACCTGGCGTGAAGAACGACAAGCGTATTATTTTCATCAATTCGCACCGGAGCAACCCGACCTCAACTATGAGAACGAGAACGTAGTGCGCGCAATGAAGGTACGTATTATTCGCAAAAAAACTATCATTAAATTTGTCATGATTCAATGCTTCTCTCTTATCGAATCATTCGGACGCACGATTTTATTTTTTCTTTCGACATAAAATTACGATTCTAGATTATGTCACATTCGTGTGACACAGAATTGTTGTTAAAATCGATCAGCCGTAAATTAGTTGTAATAATTTCAAAGTAAAATCATATAACAGGGCCAATTACAGTTTCATATATATAAAAAAAAAAGAAATATCGATAATTAACCGTCCAGTCCTCATGACTAAAGCAGCGAAATAGCGGATTATCTTGTTATCACGTTATCTCGGACAACCGCGGCGGTAAGACAGAGACGGTGGATTACACAGCATCGTTGATGTCACAAGGGGTGAAAATAAATCCGGCTTGTATACATCGTACAAGAACATTGCTTTTTCCGTTATCATCGCCGCATGAGCGCTTGCGCTCTTGCGCGCGTATACCACGCGTTGCGTTGAGAATGAAGGAAAAACATTATCCTGTTTTCCCTTTATCTCTCTTCGCTATTCTCGACGTAATTCGCTCGTGAAAATAATTTTAGAAAAATCAGACACTTTCGCAATCGACGAAAGATCGACGGACACATTCGTGCATTTGTTATCGGTAGTAATTAATTCGTCGGCGATAAATCAACGCTGAAACGTACAAAATTGATGGACAAGTGTCTTCCTCAATCGCATCGTTAATCGTCGCGCGGAAAGCGGATGCAATTAGTCGTTCGTTGCGTGAACGCAACGAGCGTGAAATTATGCTCGCGGAACGAATCAGCAAACGGATGCGCGCACAATATTTGTCAATTTTTCAGAGACACGAACGTTTAAAATGTTGCGCGACAAATGATTGTTAATGTGATTTACTTGTGGAAGATGATCGATAATAATTCGTCCGGCTGTACGATGACAAATGTCCGGCGGGCGTGAAGCGAGATAATTACAATCAATTTAACATAAACAAAAGTTCGCCAAGCCGGAATAACAACTTTCGAACAAATTATTTGCACCTAGATAAAGGTAAAAGGTCAAATTTTCTACCTCGCCGTCATAACCGGCTTATCCTTTTTCCTCACGCTACAGGAGTGATGGAATTTTAGTAGGTGAAAGTTTTCCAGGATATTCATATTTTACAATCAAATCCTGTGTGTGTAATTTGAGATACAATGAAATGATGGAACATCCAGCCGTAATACTGAAAGTTGTAAAGTACACTGGTACACGCAATAAAATCCGAATTGGACAAACTATCGTGCAGTAAATAATGCAGTAAGCTCGCGTGATGCAATCTGCAATTATTTTTCCGCTAGCGTTAAAAGCTTTGCAAAATGTAAAGACGAAAATACGTATAAATATGTAAAATGTATCTTTTTTATATTTTACCAGAGAGACGATTGTTTGTTTTTTTTTTCTTAAAATAGTATATAACAAATTTTTTTTCTTTTCCACACAAACACACATACGTAATGTACTCCGTTACTCGCGTACCACAGATGTCGAGGTTTTATTCAATTTCTTTCCATCCATAACCGCAAAATTGCTTCACGACGGCAAGATGCTTCTTCTTATCGCAGCCTCAATTCCTCCAAATCCCTTATGTCACAAAATTTACCCGGAACATGCTACATTCGTAACATAAAGTCAGATGGGGAAGTTGAGAAGAAAAAATGATAGCATTATTTTCTTTTCTAAACCAATATTATCAGATATTATTTACATATAAGAAAAAGATCACATTTTTTGAATTTTGTCTTATATATTATCAAAACGATTGCATCGCTTATCTCTCTTTTTTCTTATTAATTCAATCTGACATAAAATAATAAAAATAATCTTTTGACTTACTCATATTATAAATAACATAATTAAAGCATAATTGTGAGGCATAGCGCTTTTTGAAGTCAATAATAGATGTATAGAATTTTTTTGAAGGAACATTAGATTTATATCCTGTTACAAAAATTATAATTGTGAACTTCTATGTATCCTGACATTTGTATGCGCGTGTATGTGTAGAATTAAAGGATTGGATTTATATGAATCAAAGCGAAATAATTAATTAAATTGATTTTGAATTTGCTGTGTAAACTATTGTTTCGAATAAATATCTTTAGGGCATACAGCATAGTGATTTAACCCACTTGCAGGTATATATAGATCTGAAAGGTATATAGAGCTTTACCCAAGCGTATTGTACTCTCTCTCTCTCTCTCTCTCTTTCTAACCCTGCCCCTCCAGGACGTCCTGAGATTTTGGCTCGACAAGGGGGTGGACGGATTCCGGGTGGACGCGGTGCCACATCTGTGCGAGGACGTCAGATTTTTGGATGAGCCACTCACGGGTAATCCAAATCCCGATGATTACGGTTATACGGATAAGATATACACCAAGGATCAACCGCGCACCTACGAGATGGTCAAAGGATGGCGAGAAGTAATGGACGAGTATCCGGATGAAAGAATCATAATGATGGAAGCTTACGCGAACATGACGATGACGATTAAATATTATGTATACGGGGCACACTTTCCCTTTAATTTTGGTCTGATCACCGACACAGATCAAGATTCTACAGCGGCCGATTTTAAGAACGTGATCGATAGATGGATGCTAAACATGCCTTTTGTGCAGGGTACGGCTAACTGGGTGGTAAGTCGAATGAGAGAAACGTATTCTTTCGAATCTCTAGTATCAATCTCCAAGTGTCGCTTAACTAGAGCGACAATTTTTCGAGCTAACCAAGATCTTAATCGCTCATATATGCATAAGAGAGACGTTATATTTTATGCCTCAAGCTATTATCGCCTGCTTGGATTTTTTTAAATTGGAAACTTGAAATCAACGCGAAGCCGAATCGTTCATTAAATATTTTTTAATCTTTTATACTTTATGCCATGTTTTTATTACATTTCAAGTAGCCAAATTTTTTATTTTTCTCGTAACGCGTTACAATTCGAAATGCGTTATCATATTTGACATCTTTTGATCTCTACTTTTAAGATGCTTGACAATGTAGAGTCATAACTCATAACGAGTTAAAATTGCACTCTTACCACAGGCTGGGAATCACGACAAATCCAGATTAGTGACACGTTACGGACAGGAACGAGCGCAGGCGGTAACTGTGCTAACTCTACTGCTTCCGGGCGTAAGTGTGACTTACAACGGTGAAGAAATTGGCATGGAGGATACGTGGATGTCGTGGCAAGATACTAAAGATCCGCAAGGTTGTAATGCCGGTAAAGAAAATTACGAGAAAGCATCCCGGGATCCTGCCAGGACGCCATTCCAGTGGGACAATACCACTTCAGCTGGTAGGTACTACGACGAGCAACTTTTAAAATCACTATGTTAACTCACCAATCATGAAATGCGATTCAATTATTGTCTGCAATTTAATTTTTGTCTGTAGAAACACCGATTGCGAAAATTTGTGGAAGCGATTCATAAAACTAAGATACAATTGAAAGATGTACAGTTGTAAAACGATATTGCGTCGGTCTGTAAATTTATTAATTTATTAATTATTTTGAAGCGAATATTTTGCTGATCATTATTGTTTTTGGAATTTTAATATCAAGAACAGAGCTGAATATCATTTGACAATATCATTTGCAAAAATCGATTAACGCGATGGATCTGTTAATAAATAGCAAAAAAACATTAAATAACCGGTAACGTGATAGAAACCGGTTTGTACCGAACGCGCCGCATTAATATCAGGTCTCGTGTCATGGTCCACATATCCAAGGATCAACGCGCGCGATATATTTGTCAGGTCACGCGTCACATTTTGAGATTTCGAAAAGAAAGTGGGTGAAAAACTCGAGATGAAACAAGTCTCTTATCGATCATGTCGCGGTATGCTATACAATATCCCGACGCTTGTTGTCACTCTGGATGTGTCGTTTTACAACCTAAAAAAAATAGTTGTATCATATTATTGTTTGTAATATTAAAAATACGATTATGTTTGTATGCGATGTACAATGTCATACGTTTGCTATGAAAAGACCTAATTTTTTGATAATTTTAGGATTCTCTACGAATCCGAAAACGTGGTTACCGGTAAACAAAAACTATGTGACACTTAATTTGGCCGCGCAAAAAAGACAGGACAACTCCTATTACGCTCTATATGAAGCGGTTTCTGCTCTACGAATATTGCCGGCTGTTAAACAAGGAACCTTGACCACAAACTTATTAAACAATGATGTTCTTTTCTTTGCCAGGTATAGTAAAATGTAACGACAAACGTGTATGAGACAAGAATTATTCTTATTATCATTGTTATTACTATCATTATTATTTAATATTGCTGATGTGTTTCAAATATTAAAAAGTATATATTTAATTCTTTCTTAAGAATATATATATTAGAAAAAGCATACGTATCTGTAACATTTAATTTTCTCGCGAAATATATTGCAACGTTCAAAGTTGAGCATCAGTAAGGACAAGGCATGCTTATTATTACAGAAAAACTGATAAAGATGTGGTTTATGTAGTGGTGAACTTTGGAAATAAAGAAGAGACTGTCGACTTATCGAGACTCATTCAGCCAACCAATCGATTGAACGCTTACTATGCCACTACGAATGCTCGTCATTTAATCGGGTAAGCATACGTTTTCTTCGTGCAATACGCCACGTGCGTTACTAGATATAGGTAGTAAAACATATACATAGAAAATGCAAAAGAAATTTTACAAATATTATCTTATATTATCTCGCGCTCATTGCGTTAATCTCATTGTTACCTCTATAATATTTAGGACTATCACCGAAGATGTTCACACCTTGAAAATCCCTGCATCAGCAGCTGTGATATATTTTAATATATAGTTATGTAAAGCCGTGCGAAAAGCTATGGAAACGAACGAGAGGCACCGTATTTTCAATGTTATTTCCATAATTCTCTAGGCAAAGAGGAGAGATTATTCAGTCGTTGGAATGATTCTACTCTGCATCTACCATCTTGCTTTATTGCTTCGATGTATATGTACATAATATCGCTCTTATTTATTCACGCTTTACCTATTTGATCAACTGAATTTATCTGCAAGATACAAAACTACGTTCATAGATAAACGGAATAGATAATGGCTCAGCTAATGGTAAAATATTATGTTAGAAAAAGCAATAGATGAAATGTTGAAAAGTAAAACATAGTAATAATAAATTTTGTCAATAATTCGCCCCTGTAATCATTACATTTGTAAATATTAAATTTTCAATGAATGTAAAAACTGAAAAAAGCAAATAAAAATTTTAAAAAGCAACTGTCGTGTATTTTCGATTATTAAATAAAATTTAATAACGGAATTATTAAATTTCGATAGATTGAATCCCGCAATATTCAGATTTTCATATACACTCATTAATATTGTATTGATTGCATTTTGTGTATTGTACCGCTTTCACTATTTGTCTGAATTTTTCCGTTATAAGAACAATATAATAACATTATGTCATATATTGAATAATTTATTTAAAATAGTAAAACGCTAATAGTATCTATTAAATTATAGTATCTATAAAATATATCTCTATTTGCTATTAAAAATTTTAATCAATAATAATTAACAATGCGCTTTTTGTTAAGCATTTCTATTATACATTAATTATTTATAAATCCGGCAATTATATTAAATGTCAAAAAGCCAATTGTATGTTTATCTGTTTCTAACAATGCAATCAACAATGAACGAAACTTGCAAATACTCATGTCTCTCACCTAAATTTATGTATGCTATCTTGAACTTTCTTCACAATTGCGTTGCACTAGGAGAAACTTCGTCTCTCTCGCGTGTGGAAACGGATTACAAGAGTTGCAATTATTTAATGAAAATTCAAAGTTTAGCAGAGAAGAACGAAAGAATGTCAAAACTTTTGCATCGCTTTCCGAGCATAAAGATAATTTTTTTTGTCGCGACGTTTCATTTAAATAACCGGTGACGAATTTTGCGGAATTACACAAATTCAAGTGCAAAATCCTTGAATTCGTACAAGTATGTGTAAATTTACTTTTGTACAAATTTAAAAACTTTAACATATACCTATAATATAATCGAGTCGCATATCGGACCCCTTTATCTGAGTTTATTTCCTCCTGTTTATCAATCCTTATCTAATTTCTCATAAAAGCTAAATTCTAAGATAAGCATTGTGTTGATTTATCGATGTGCAATATCGTTAGATTAAAGTTATAATTACTTCCTATAAAATTCACAATGCAATTATTCATGAATATATCACAATTTGAAAGTTTGTGAAATATGTGTGTTTTGGGTTATATATATCAAGTTTAAAAAGATATTACTTTTAAAAAAAGGTATTACTCATGCATGCACTCGAAAAACAAAATAACATGTATAAAATAAATTATTAATAAATAATTTTCATTATTTATGATTGTCTTTAAAGAGAGCTTTGCATCAAATTACAAAAATATAATTATACAGAATTAATCTATAAAAGAGAGAGAAAGAGAGAGAGAGAGAGAGAGAGAGAGTACATTTCACAGTATCACAAGTGTCATACTTGTGATAATACTACATAGATATCGCCTATAACTATCCATGTATCACTGATAATATTATAAACAAAAGATAAACGCGCAATATCGTGAACAAGAGATTGCCGTGCGGCTAGAAATTTCGTCATATAATGCATTTTGTCTTGTATAGTTAAAAAGCGTCCACTCCCTTCCTATTACTTTAAGCTCCCAGTTTATAGAATAATTAGACTTCAAACTTCCCTTGAGGAAAAATTGTCCGCGACTTAATTAAAAGTGGGATCCTTTAATTTTCGATAAACGAACCGGCAATTCAATCTGTAATTAAGTTTTCTCGTAAGAGAAATCTAATGAAAAATACTTATTGAATGAGAATGTAATCAAATCAAAATGAAATTGCTGCTATTATCGCGGGCAAAATAAAATTTCTCTAACAGATCGCTAAAAATTCAAAGGCCAATCTCAGACTTTGAGAAATCAAATATGTGAACAATATTATTAAAATCATATTAACAATTTAAACTTCTAAAAGTTTAAGTATTTTCCTCTTTAACATGTTTGCTTCTTTTACGTATGGCAACAAAAATCAGAGAATCTCGGTAATTATTTTTTTATCCAACTTACATTTCGCTGCCATTCTTCAGAGAAATCACACTTTGTAAAATTTTGTTTACGCGAAATAACGCGTTACATCGTTATCTGCAATCTATTATACTGTCAGCCATAACTGTGGATAGTGCTACCTCCCCGACGGACGACATGACAATTATCGCGAGATTGTGTGATTTTTTCCGATTTGCTCGATAAAACTTCTTCGAGCGTTGGTTCTCTCGGCCAACATTGTCCCTTTCACATATAAATTACGACGTCGAGAAACACGCTACGTAATCGTGAAGATGTTCGTATCGCGACACCACATTATCCTCCTAAGTCTGCTGTTGACGGTCCCTCTGATCTCGGGAGAGATCCTCAACCGGGGATGGTGGAATCACACGGTTTTCTATCAGATTTATCCTCGCAGTTTTATGGATTCCGACGATGACGGTGTTGGTGATCTCAAAGGTAAGAGAGAAGGGAAAGAACCAAAAGCTCTCGACGAGCATCGAGACATATCGCATTAAACTTGTCTCTCTTCCGGTTTTATGCCTCGTCTTCCTCGACATAATCATTTTCGCGATAAGCATCGACGAAAATGACGCTGTAACACGCTTGCCCAGCGTAATTATACATCGTCTGTGAAGACAAAAACAGTTTCGTAACGAGAACGTTATCTTGCTTGTCATGTAGTGGATTTACCTGTGACAGTTTCGTTATCATGTTGCACATATAATATATTGCAACAACAGAAAAAATTTATCTAATTCTCATTAAAGTGAATAATATATATTTAAATATATTATAATATATTATTAATTCTTCTCTCTGTTCTCTCTCTTCTTCATCGCTTTCTTCATTTCTCTTCATTTTATTTTTTCTATTATTATTATTATTATTATTAAATCGTTTTTATTTTTAAACATCATGTCGCTTGTATAATTATTCAATTTGAGGTCAGTTTAAATAAATATATTAGGTATAAAATTATGATAAGTATTATGATAATTATTACACATTAAATCGCTATACAATATGTAGAAAAATGCGACGTAATATATAATAAATGATTGTAACTGCATTTGTATTGCACTGCAAGCCTCCATGTTTGCTTCAATCTTTTTTCGTTTGTAACAGGTATAACGAGGAACCTCGAACATTTTGTGACATCTGGAGTAGGGGCGATATGGCTGTCACCCATCAATCAAAGTCCTATGATCGATTTTGGGTATGACATTTCGGATTTCAAAGATATTGACAAAATATTCGGCAAAATGACAGATTTTGAAAATCTTTTAGCACGTGCTAAAAAACTTGGATTAAAGGTAATCCATGATAAAATAATTGGATTCGTCTAAAAAAAAGTCCATTTTAAACGAGCAATTCAAATTCTAGTGATAATTTCCTCAAATTTTTTATTAATATGTAATTTTCATTCAACCCCCATTCAAGGTTATATTCGATCTCGTGCCTAATCACACTTCCGACGAACATTATTGGTTTCGAGAGAGCATAAATCGTACCGGCAAATATGAACATTACTATATATGGGCAGATGGAAAAAATAATATTTTGCCACCGAATAATTGGTTAAGTTTATTCGGTGGCTCAGCTTGGACATACAACTCAATCCGTAGCCAATGGTACCTTCATCAATTCCACAGTAGGCAACCAGATTTGAATTATACTAATCCCGATGTACAAGAGGAAATGAAGGTATAATCATATTTTACGAGAAATAGAGTTATTAAACTTGCAATATCCCTCGATTAGAGAGAAGATTCACGGCGCAGATACACGTAATGCATCTGTATGCGATTATTAAATCACTCGTATATTCATTTTCGTGTCGTTTTAGGAAATTATTCTATTTTGGTTGAGGAAAGGCGTGGATGGATTTCGCGTGGACGCGGTGCCGTATCTCTTTGAAACAAATTACACTTTGGACGAACCTAAATTAGAAGGTGCGATGGAAGATGATTATAACTCTCTAAATCACATATTGACAAAGGATCAACCAGAAACATACAACTTGGTATTAAGCTGGAGGAAGATTTTGGACGAATATGCTTATCAATATAATACAAGCGAAAAGGTGCACATTTTACTCTTTTATAAAGTTTTATATACTATGTATTTCAGTAATACATCGTTTTTAAAAAAGTTAAAATTAATTTAAATGCACTACTTTAACGTTATACTTTATTAGAACTATATACGTATATACTAACTAATAACATCCATCTCTTTGCTCGCATATACTAGGTGATGATGACTGAAGCATACACTACATTAAAAAACACTACTAAATATTACAATTACGGTTCCCATATCCCTTTCAACTTTAATTTTATCACAAGTGCGACCTCGGATGCTGCTGCGTTTAAAAACATAATAGAGAGCTGGATGAAGACAATTCCCGAGGGTGGCATCGCTAACTGGGTGGTAAGAAAACGTTATTCCCATCTACATCAATTTTATATCGCACTCAATAAAACAATGATACGAAAATGTCTAACTTGGAAATTATTCAATCTGATAACTTGGCGCAAACATTATTATATTGAAATTCTTTTCGTCGATAGAGAAAAGCTTAATGGCAAAATATAATGGCAAGAGAATACATTCATTTAACATTATTTGAATACAAAAATTTTTTAATATTGAAATTTGCGTTATTGAATTTAATATATATATATAATAAGTTCATGTTAAATATAATTTACGCTAATTTTAAAATTATATTTGCGATAAACATAAATTATAAAAGATCCAAATGTGTGAATCAAGAATTGGTTAATAATGTTAATAAACGCTTGGGTGATTAAAGCCCAGCCACAAATGGCATTTTAAAAATGCACGATATTGTGTAATTCTATACAATAATATAATCAATATATATAAATGTTAATATAGTATAATATAATATAATATAATTTAAAGCGTATTTCAATGACAACTGCGTTGCGGTAAATGTATACAATTGTATGCTAAGTGGTATATTTTAATACACACATAATGGCTAATACTTTGTATAATCTGCAAGCGAGCAAAATATCCGTAGATGGGAAATCATGATCGTAATCGTACTGCTTCGCGTTATCCCGGGAGAGCCGATCAGATGACAATGTTAGCCATGATACTGCCAGGCGTAGCAGTGACATATTA